ATGAGGTCTGTAAGAGGTAGAGGAGCTGAGTCCAGAGCTGAACCACATTGACCTAGGAGCACGTGAATTTCCACTTTGGGCAGTCTGAAGGACAAATACAAAAGAACTGGTTGGACAAATATGTCTCAAGCTGTTTAGAACCTGCTCTGGGGCAGGACAGTGATGAAGTGGACCTCCAGGTGTCCTGCTCTGTTTCAGTACAGCCCAAGGAATTGCTGCTTGTTCTTTGAGTTACAAAGGGCTCCTGGGGGTAGCTGTAGACTAAGCAGAATTCCTACCACCTCCCTGATCTTCTTCATCACTTCACCATGTGACTTGCTGCGGGTAAGAAGGTGTTAAAGTCCAGCCTGAAGTCCCCAGGATCCCTGCTGATGTTTCACCAAAGCACAGGAGTAGGGAAGAGGCAGGAGGAGAGGAAAAGGTGTTGATGGTATTGGCTTTTATCCCAGGTGAATCCAGTTCTCTTGCAGAAGGAGCAGGTATCTCATCCTTTGAGCCACTCAGGAAAGAAATTAGATAGAGCAGTGAAAAGTATCACATGAGAAAATCTGTCCTGAGAATGGAGTCACACAGGCACTCCCACATCTTCCCACCTCTTGTCCTCTCTCTCTGACAGCTCATGGAGCAGTAACCCTCTAATGTGACACCAAGACAGGTTTGCATTTTCAAATGCTTCTGCTGTTGCTAAGCAGAGGAGTTAACTCTCAGTTTGTCATCCTTTGTGAACACAGCTCGCAGGAAGAAAGAAATAAACGAGGAAGAGAGATATTAAAACCAGCTGATAATAACAAGGCAAGGGACTTAGAAGTTTTCAAGTCAGATTTAACCTATTACACTGGTGGCACCTTGACAATGACAAGTTCTGCTGCTGGGGACTGGATTAATGGTATGTGTAGCCTCCTCCTCTCCCAGTGAGACTTGTCCTTCCTGGAGACCCATGTTCTCACATCAGACTCTATTTCCTGTTCTGTGACCCCAAAGAACAAACTGATTCATTCAGGTGAAAATAAAATAAAATATAAGAAGAAACAATACTGTTTGTGGCAGAGCACACCCCATGTAAAGCCCTGCTTGCAGGTGAGCTGTGGCCATCCACAGGAGAGCAGCTGGAGGAGGAGAAGGCTTCATCCTTTCATTATGATATATCAGAGGTGATTGGAGGGAAGAAATGCCATATGAAAAATCAAAAAAGTTATGCTAGCCTCAGGGCAGCCTGGGTTCAGGGGAACAGGACACCAGGCAAAACAGCTGAGCCTCCCTGAAAGCACAGGCAGAAATGCAAGCAGGAGCCTTGGAGGGGGCTGCCAGGCAGCACAAAATGCTCTGTTACTTCAACAGTTTCTATTTTCTTTGAGTGCTGAATGTTTTTGCAGGAAAGGGAAAAAAATCAGAGGGAAAAAGACCAGTATCTTTTCTAAAAGCAAACCTGGTGGAAAATTTGCAGTCTGCTCTCTTGAATACACCAGGGCTTGCTTTACTTTTTGCCTTGCATGATTACATCATACATTAACATTCAAGACAGGCATCAGGAAGAGATGAATCCTGAATAACTCCAAAGTTTGCTTCTTCCATCTCTTCCAGCATGAGGCAGGTTCAGACAAAGCCTGTGCTGGAGGCTGGCTGCAAGAAAAGATGTTTTGAGGGCAGTACAGTACCAAAAGAGCTTGGCTCCTGTACATTTTTCTCCAAGCATGAGCAAATCCATGTTTTACCAGCAAGCTGGGATGCCCTATTAAAAGAGCAGATCTTTGCTGGTTGGCATCAGCACAGAAGTCACAGCATGTGGTATGTCCATCAACTAAAGACAATTTAAGAAGCATGTGAAGATCCATTAAGATGTCCTGAGGAGTGTAACAAAGGTGGTGAAAAGGCTGGATGAATGTCTTTTGAGGAGCAGCTGAGGATTTTGGGCTTGTCTAGTTTGGAGAAAGGGGATTCAAGGTAACGCTCTCTACAGATTCCTGAGGAAGGGAAGTACTCAGCTCTTCCTGATATCCAGTGATAGAGCACGTGGGAATAGATCAAAGATGTGCCAGGAGAGGTTTAGACTTGGCATCAGGAAGCATTTCTTTGCAGAGTGACTGGAGAGAATAGGCATCCTAGTAAGGCCCTCAGCCTGTCAGTGTTTAAGGGACATTTGGACAATGCCCTGAACAACATTCTTGAACTTTTGGTCAGCCCTGAATTGATCAGGCAGTTGAACTGGATGATTGCTGTAGTCCCTTCTAACAGAAATAATAAATTAATTTCTGTTCTATTCCACTGACATAAATAAAAAGAACATGGGATCAGACTTCCACCAGAAAACACACAGAGCATGGTACTGCCCAGCCTCCAAGGAGCTTCTCTTACAAAGTGTTTCATGATCCAGCCCTCCAGCCTCCTGCTGAGGAAGTGAGAGCTGAATTAAGCAGCTTTCAGTGAATCTGAGCTCAGTCCAAGGTGGTGAAGAGTGAGCCACAGCCACTGACCTGTTCCAGTGACTGACCTGTCCCTGTAGGGGAGCACACACTTTATTTCAGCAGTCAGTCAAGTCCGGATGGACAAGGGATGTTCCTCTGTATTATCCTGGTAGCACTGAGCAAGAACTCATCTCAGCTTCATGCGAAAATTGATGCCAGTCCCCACAGGGACATTCTTCAGGGTGAGATGGCATTTTGCAAGGGCTGGAGTATTTTATAGCTTGGAGGCAACCAAAAGCCCTGGTCCAGATACCACTGACAGAGCTGGGGCACCTCTGGAGAGGGTAACAGGGGCAACTCTGGGGAAGCTCAAGAGGCAGGAGAAGGCAAACAGAGCAGTCTCAGGGACAAGGGGTGCCTTGCTTTTCACTGGGAAACAGCAAATTTGTCCTGGGAGCAGCTGGAGCTTGGGGAAAACCATCTGCTTCCTGCTCTCCTTCCTGGGCCAAGGTCTGGAGAAGGAGCCAGAGCCAAGGCTGCCAAGAGTCAGGGAGAGGCTTCAAAGTCCCCCTGCTGTGCAGGCTGCCCCAGCTGCATGATCTCCCACCAACAAAAGGGCCCTGGCTGTCAGTCCTGTGCCTTTGGGAAAGTCCACGGCTTTGGAAAACGCAGGAGATTGATCCAGTGGTCACCCACGTCTACAGGGTTGTCATTGGGATGGGAAAGCCTGCGAGCTGTTGGGGGCAAGGAAGAAGGTTAAAGCAGTGTAGTGATACAGGGATGATGGGACACATCATCCAACCTGTTTGTCCAAGGAGCAGGTGCCTCTGTGAGGTGGCCTGAGCCCTGCCATGCGCAGAAGGATGAAAGAAATGCCAAGTAGAAATGGCTCATCCTCCTCCTGGACAATTACTGTTATTTTTATTTCTTTATTTTTTAATGAATATTATTTACGTTATTCATTAAATACTGACTAAGGAACAGGTGCTGGCTCATGTTTACTGGTTGATAGGTCTCTACACTTCTGCAAGCATTTCTCACCCTTAGCCAAGCCAGGGAATGGCAGGAAGGCTGGAAATAGTATGTTCTGGTGTGACTACATCACACATCTGGGGAGAATGTGAGAACAACATGTTGGGGTGAGGGATGGCAGCTGCCTGTTTGTGTCCTACTGCTGCTTGGGAGCCACTGCAGGATTTTTATGACTCATGCAAGTTCACTCCTCAAAAACCATGCTCTGTACAAAACCATCTGTTTTGTGACCAGTGGGTGAACCATGGTCTGTTGTACCCACTCATGACCTGTGACTATCTAGACAGGCGGGATGGATAGACCAATTGTGTGAGGTTCAACAAGGCCAGGTGCCAGGGTCCCTGGGTCACAACAACTCCTGCAGCTCCAGGTTTGGGGCAGAATGGCTGGAAAGCTGCCCCGTGGGAAAGGACCTGGGACTGCTTGATAGGAGCTGAACATGAGACAACAGTATTTGCCCAGGTGGAAAAGAAGGCCAATGGTATCCTGGCTTGGATCAATAATAACAAAAGCAGCAGGATTAGGGAAATAATCCTTGCCCTGTACTTGGCACTGGTGAGGCACCTCAAGTGCTGTGTCCAATTCTGGGCCCCCCAGTCCAGAAAGGAGATTGAGGTGCTGGAGCAATTTCAGAGAAGGGCAATGGAACTGGTGAAAGGTCTGGGATCCATCTCCTGAGAGGAGAAGCTGAGGGAGCTGAGGGTGTTTAGCCTGGAGAAGAGGAAACCCAGGGGGTCTTTATCACCTCTGCAGCTCCCTGACAGGAGGGCGTAGCTGGGGGTCAGTCTCTTTTCCCAGGCAGCCAGTGACAGGAAGAGGAGATATAGAATTACAGAATCACAGTATGAGCTGAATTGGCAGGGAACCACCAGGATCATGGAGTCCAACTCCTGGCCATACACAGGGCACCCCAAGAATCACACCCTGTGCCTGAGAACATTGCCCAAAAGCTTCTTGACCTGCGTCCTTGGGGAGCCTGTTCCACTGCCCAACTACCCTCTGGTGAAAAAGTTTTTCCTGACATCCAAACTAAGCCTCCCCTGACATAGCTTGATGCCATCCCCTCAGGTCCCATCACAGAGATCAGTGCCTGCCTGTCCTTTGCCTCTCATGGGGAGCTGCAGAGAGGTCTCCCCTCAGTCTCCTCAAGGCTGAACAGGCCAAGTGCCCTCACACGGAGGAGCCACCCTCCAGAACCTTCATTGTCCTTGAGGCCCTCCTTTGGACACTCGCTCATGGATTAATGTCTCAAGATGTGCCAAGGAAGGCTCATGCTGGAGGTTAGGAAGAATTTCTTCACAGAAAGGGTCATTATGAATCGGAATGGGCTGCCTAGGGGGGCGGTGGGGCCATTGTCTCTGGAGATGTGCGAGGAAAGACTGGATGTGGCACTCAGTGGTGGTGTTGGGTCATAGGCTGGACTGGATACGGTCAGAGATTTTTTTCCAAACGACTTGATGCTGCGATTTTGTGACCCTCCCTCCGCTCCCACAACCCTGCGCCCCGTTCCCGCCCGCCCCTCACGGCCCGCCCTCTCCCCCGGCACGGCCGAGGCGCCGCCGAGCGCGGCCCCTTTAAAGGCACGCGGCGGGGCCGTCAGCGCGGGGAGGGGCGGGGGCGGCACCGGCACCACCGGCACCGGGACCACCGGGAGCGGCACCGGGAGCGACGAGGCGGCCGCGGCGGGGGCCGCGCCGCGCCATGGCCCAGCAGCAGATGAGCAGCTCGCAGAAGGCGCTGATGCTGGAGCTGAAGTCGCTGCAGGAGGAGCCGGTCGAGGGCTTCCGCATCACCCTGGTCGACGAGTCCGACCTCTACAACTGGGAGGTGGCGATCTTCGGGCCCCCCAACACGCTCTACGAGGGCGGGTACTTCAAGGTACGGGCCTCTCCCCCGCGGCGCGGGCCGCGCCGTGGGGCTGGGCCGGGGCCGGGCCTGCGGGAGGGGGCACGGGCACGGCCTGGGCGCGGGGGAGCCGCGCCGCGCTCCTGGAGCCCCGGAGAGCCGCCGCGGCCAGCCCCGGCGCGGGGCTGCGCTCCCCCCTGCCGCCCCGAGGTGCCCCCGGGCTCTGCTCTGTGTGTGTTTCACGGAATTGTTGCGGTTGGAAGGGACCTGTGGAGATCATCTGGTCGCGTATTTCGTGTCCTTTTAGTTCCTGGCTTAGGGGCAAGGCTATTTACAAGAGCGTCTAGGGACAGAGCAAGGGGGAATGGGTTCAAACTCAAAGACAGTAGGTTTAGCTTAGGTGTTAATTGTTCATTGTGAGGGTGGTGAGGCCCTGGCACAGATTGCCCACAGAAGTTGTGGAACAGATTGCCCACAGAAGTTTCAGGGCCAGGCTGGATGGGGCTTGGAGCAGCCTGGTCTAGTGGAGGGTGTCCCTGCCCATGGCAGTGGGGTTGGACCTAGATCATCTTCAAGCTCCCTTCCAACCCAAACATTTTATGACTCTGTGATATTTATTTCAAAGTAAGGGGCTTCCAAGCCATCCCTTGATAGCTTCACTCATTGATGGGTAATTCAGGGTGAAGGCAGTGTTTTCCTCAGGACTCCATGGGATTCAGGGCTGTTTGACACAATTTTTTTCTATTCCTGTGTTCTTCCTCTCCATGCTTTAAGAAGGCAGCCTTCAAAGAGCTGCAGCAACATATAATGGGTGAAGATAGATTCAATTCCTTTCTCAGCCTTCCTGTTAATACAAAAAAAACTTTTGTGGTTACTATTTCCACTCTTGTGAATACAGCAAATAAGAAATCTGGCACAGCCATCCCAGAAAAGAACCGAAGGGAGTGTCCTTAAATTATCAAAACAACTGGAGAAGGAGGAGTTGCACTTTTTTCTTAAAACAGGCAATTGGAAACCCTTAATGCCTGCAGAAGACGTGTTCCATAGGCACACTCCTCTGTTCTTGATATTTGCTTGATCTCTGGCAAAATATTGTCCCCATGAGCTTGCTTCTCCCAGCAGTTAACTGTTTTAGTTGTGGCTCCTGCATCTCCCATTTCATGCCCTTTGGCTTCTCTCAAACTGAAAAAAAATTTAGATGATGTCTTTGCTTGACTAACGTGCACCTTCAGTGCCTCTTGGCCTCCACAGGTCAAGGTTTAAGAGCTTTGTTCCACAAAACCAAAATAACCTGTAGCTTGGGGAATAATGGATTTGAGTCATGTTCGGTTTGGCCTCATTGTTTGGAAGTAGAGGAAGGCTTTGGCATAAGACTTGCCTTTTGTAATGAGTTGGCTGGCTTACTCATGTAGGTGTGATAGGTGTATTCTTAGACTCACCTCCATTATTACTTATTCAGGAAGTCACTCGAGTCTTTAGTTGCTAACAGTGTCGTCTTTACATCCAAATGGTCTGGTGACCTCTTCCTGCACTTACATTACTCATCCATTTTTAGTCAAAGAAATCATGACTGATCGAAATAGTTTTGTTTGGTTGGGGAGGTCTCTGGACTGCATATTTGCAGTTGTTCCTGGAAAGAAGCTGAAGTTGCCTGAGAAGTAATTTGGGATGTGTGTTAACAAGTGTAGATTTAGGCAAGGCTCCCAGTTGCCTTACCTCAGCACTGTGATTGGGTTTTTGGGTATTTGATGTCTGCTGTGCCTTTCTTCTAAATTCTTTTGACCAACCCTGTGGTAGTTGTTTTGAGCGTGGGAAGATGAGGTCTTATGATGCTTCCACCTCTCCCCAGCAGTGATTCCCTTCAAGTGCCGTGGCTGAAATCTCTTGTGTGTTGTTTCTGTCTCATCTTTCCTCCATGAGGAGCCCTGCCTGGTGGATTTTTGAAATGTCTGGTCTTTGGTTATGCATCTAGACTTCTGAGACACTGAAAAAGGGAGAAGGAGTCCTGTGAGAAGTGATATTCTTGGCTCTCTTTGTCTTAGGTCTTAACATGCATTAGACTCTGCTTATGGAATCATTTGGAGATAAAAATAATACCCTAACTTTCTTTGTTGAGTGACTCCTGCAATATATTAATTGTATGTGCTGCTCTAAACTAATGCTTACCTTGCATGCTTTTCATTTTCTGTATTTCTTAACTTGATGAAATATTTAGCTTCATCCTGTTTTGTGTTTTCAGTTTAGTAAGGTTAGGAAAGTGGGATTAGAAGTATGCAATTTCAGGATGTAACTTTTTTCAACTTTGTGGCAGTGAGTTTGGGAATTGTGTTCCACTTGAAGTGTAGTTTAACAGCAGGAACTTGAGAGGAAGTACACAGGCTTCTAGTTAAGCTAGAGTACAAATACTTCAAGGAAAACTTGTGCTTAAGGTCACTTTAATAAAGAAAGTGTTAGGGATGGTTGATTGGGGAATACTATTGCTTGATTTGTGTTTTGGGAGCTCTTAGAGGTGGTCACATCAACTTTTGGCACCTTGTTTATTCTTGGAGAGATACTACCTTTCTGTCTGGGTTGTTGAACTAGCAGAATAAACTGAAATGAGGGAAGCGCTCTCTCTGCTCCTGCTTGACAGAAGCTACTGTCTAAAGCTGGTTCAACAGATTCTGGTTTCAGCTGCAAGTCCTGTAGCTCTAACATCTGATAAATTGAAGCAGAGAACAAATCCCCTTGAATGTTTGTTCAAATGGTAGGTTGTCAACATGCTGGCTATAATAAAGACAGGCACTTCTTAAAGATTCAAGTATAGTGTCTAAGCATATTTTATCACCTAATATAGCATGCCCAGATCTGCTGCAGTGCTTCAGGGTTTAGGACTACCATCCAGATCAGCCTGCAGGAGCAACAGCTACATGAACAGCAGCTTGTATCAGCAAGGGAACATGCAGCAGCCCTCCACCCCATTCATGTGATCAGCTGAAGGTGGACATCTGAAGTGCAAGTTCCATTAACCTTTGTCTTACCTAGTGACAAGATGGATATCCCAGTCACAGCCCCATCAATAAAGAGTTATTATATTATTCAGTCATGCTGAATAACTTTGTAATGTTTTGAGCAACGCTTGAAGTTCCTGACTACCATCCTCAAGAAAGGAGTTGAGCTATTCCCTGCACTGGTTGCCTCTCTTCTTTGCTGGCAAGGGAAAAACAGTTCAGGGGCAGTGATGTTAAGTCCTTCAAAGAGGTTGTGATAAGAGCAAATGTCTGTCCCTCAGCTGCTGGCAGTAAGAAATTGCCAGTTTGACTAAAGTTCTAGCAGAATCGCTTTTGTTGGGCTATAGGTATTGGACTGCACTAGGTGAAATTGGTTTTTGGTCCCAGACTCACTCACAGAGTGTAAAGGTGAAATGTGGGTAGACCTTGTATGTCTAAAGTGTTGCTTACTTCTGATTCACTTGCTGAATTTTTTGACTGACAAAGGGAAGATTTTTCTCAGAATGAAATGCTTTGTGTCCCGGTCACAGATAGTGACAACTGCTTCTTTCTTAGCTCAGCTTTGAAGGACATGGTGTGATGAGATGGATCTTTAGATCAGATTCCACTGGGCTATGTGGTAGTTCTGAGTTGCTCTGGAAATAATGGAAATGTCTGGTTTTGCAGGCAGTGCCTGAGCAGCAGAAAACCAGAATGTGCCATAATCAGCAGAACTAAGTGTGAGCAGTTCATCAATGCACCTCTGTGCCGTAGGCATCTTCAGTTCCTCTGAGAGGGTCCTTTGCTACCTGGCGGAACTTCTTCATCTTTAATTTTGGCAGCTGATACAGAAATGGGGACCACCACAAGAAAGGTTACTGTGCTATAATCTGGGCCTGATAGGTACTAGGTGGGATAGATCTCAATGGCTGAGGGTGGTGCCTGGTGAAATGTTTACCATCTTGGGTGACCATTCTTCTCTGTGTTGAAATCCAGTGTCTTTCTTTAATGCTTGAGCCTTCAGAGTTTGGAGGCTGATGAACCTCTGCCCAATGCTTTGATCAAACAGTGGATACTTGCAGGACTGTTAGTGTTTCCTGATGGCTTGCTTGAGGTCCTGAATGTTTGATGCAATTGTACCTTAGCAACAGCGCTTTTAATTGTTTTGATAAAGACAGGTCTTCTGATTTTTTTAGTTGCATGGTATTGCAGTTGTGCTGAGAGCCAGGGCTTCAGGGAAGGTACCAGTGAGAAATTATACAAATAGATACTTCATTAGCACTGCTCAGAAGCATGATTTGACCAAGTACGCTGTGTCAAGAAGCATGTTTAATGTAGACAAAAAGTCAATATTAAAAACTCCTTCCGAGGTGATTCAGGCTGGGTAAATTAAAATGAATATACCTAGCATGAAAGGAAACAAGAAAAATTAACTACATTGTTAGAGTTACTGTTTCATAGTTCTTAAGGCAGTTTATTTCATAAGGTACTTTTCCTACTTGAAGGAACAAGCCTTGACACATCAGTTGGAAGGGGAGAAAAACACCAAGCATTATGATTAGTTTTGTCAAGTAATTTGGGGGCTAAATATTCTCAAGGCATTGTTAGCCATGCTTTTTGTAATTCATTAGCCCTGTACTGTATAGAGTTCTGTATTGTATCTCAGCTTCTTCCAGGTAATTTGATTTCAAAGTAACTTGCAAAATGTGCCAAGATTTCAGAGCAGAAAATAGTTGGAGAACTGATCAGTTACCAATAACTAATGGCAAGAACGAACACCATGTTTAAAAATTTGGTCTTGTAGTCTACTTCTAGTGACACTTAAAATTAAACAAATAGAAGTTTTCTAAGCACTTAGAATTACATAACTGGTAGAATGTTTTAATTCCACAAAAACATCCTTAATGTCAGGATGAAAATGTGAGGTACTCTCAACACAAAAAATGCCTTCTATGGGCCTCTGCATTGCAAGGTCCTACAGAGTTTCTCTCTGTGTATTTGATCTATTTTTGTTGCCCTTAGGTATCATTGATGCTAATAAACAGTGGTTTGGTGCAGCAAAGG